TGTGTATTACCTTGTTCTTGTTTCCTTGATGTGATTTACGTCCTCGTTGTGATCTGGATTCCATGTCCTGCCATATGTAGCGAGCTCTGGATGTGTTTATGTTCTTCTTCTGTGGAGCTGTAATTAGAAATGCTCTGAGCATGTGACTGACCTTCCCTGAACTGAATGTACTGTACCTGCTGTTGTCATTCCTCCTCCTCAACATGGCATGCCCTAGCAAAGAGAGGAGCTTGCCCTAGATAGGAAAAACAAAGTCATTTTTATCTTAAAATGCATATAAGAGACCAAAGAACAGTACTTATGTTAACAAGTTCCAGAAAGAAGGTGGAAATCTGGTTGTGTTTTCAAACTGAAGTTTGAAGCTGCTGTAGAGGCAAGGATGCTTTCACAATGGGCAGGCTCACGTTTCCCAGCACTGCTGCTGCTGAGGTCAGACCAAGTGCTGCCTACCAGCCTTCTTGGTTGGAAGTGTGGCATGGAAATGGCAGCAGACAGGTCCTGTGTGGCAGCTGCCCATGAATAGCTTCTCTGAAGTAATCCACTACAGCACAGAAGAAGATTAATGAGGTGAGGTGCTGCTCTCCCTGCTTTCATGTGCCCTGACGGCTACAAGCTATCACTGTTACTGAACCGGCTCACCAGAGGGCCACTATGGACAAAGGTCAGGAGGCAACTTCAAGGCCCATCTTTTCAGGAAGCTTCTTGTTCTGGGTGCTGGGCTCAACTTGCTTAGGGCCTCGTTTTCAGAAGAAATGAGCACTTACAGAGGCTTGAGTAGGACACCCAGAATAAAGGGCCACTTCTGGAAATGTTAGCAAAGGCATTTTATCTCTGCGCTTCATTAGTCTGATCCCCAAAGTCTTTCATTTTATGTTCTGCACTGAAAGGTCATTGTTTCAGATCAATCATTTTCAGTGGGATTTAATCCAGTTCTCAGTCAAGCTAATCCACTTTGGTATAGTTTGAAGAGCAGTAAAAATTAATTTGTCAGGAAAGATCTGGGAATATTTCTTAAATGTTTGTTGATACTGAGTCATAATGGTGTAGCACTGCACGAGATGTTCTGGGGGTAGTTCCAGAAGTGCTGGACATGGAAACTCTGACTTTATCCATAGGTTGCAAATGCTCAGCACCTCTGAAAAGCCCTGAGGTGGAGAAGGGTTGTTGGGGTTTCTGCATGTGGATATATGTGTGTTTTTGACTTTCAATATTCACTTAGCAAGAAGTCTTCTACACATAGAGGCTTTTAGCAATAGGATGCTCAGGTGCAAGTTCCTGATAAGCAAGCTTTTTTATTTTTTCCTATTTATGCTTATAAATTCTGGTTATATCCCTTTGATTACATAAAGAATGAAAACACATTCTTGTGTCTGGACCAAACATTGTGGTTTGAAGCAGCTCTTGAAGGGTTAAAACTGCTTTCAATTAGGTGCTGTGTTCTTGCCACTGAGAGAAACCCCCACAACTGAGCATGCTTCACAGCCTCCTGTGCATATCCCTGAATCATTCTGGCACCTAAAAACACTGCTATAATCTTTTATTCAGACATAGCACTCATTCTTCACTGGACTCCAAAATGAGCAAGTGCTTGAAAACAGCACATTTTGCCAGAGAGCTCTGAGGATCAGCTCCTGTCTGCATGGGATTTTGAACGCGCAAAAGGCTGCTGTGTGTGAATGCAGAGCAATGCTGCACACACTGCAGTGATCCCCAATGGGGTTGGTATACATGTCTGGTCCCCTGAGGGAGGAAGGGCTTCACAGATGTACAAATCACTGCCCTTTTCCTATAACAGTCTCCTGTTGGTGCAGATACGCCCTATGCACAGCTCACAGCGTGAGCCCTGCTGCTTCTGAGCAGCGCTCTGCCAGTGCCATCTTTCTCCCTTCATTCCAGCTTTCACCTTTGAGTTACGAGGGAGGTTCTGGGAGAGTGATTGAAGATTAATAAGAACTTGAAATATGGCAAGTAGTAGAATATTTTTATACGCACTCTGACAGCCTAAAGAGTTCTGTTGCTTGTTGAACTCTGTTGTACGGTTTGGCTAGAAATATATCATTGAAATTATAATCCCTTGAGGTTTGGGAAAGAATCATCACACTTGAGCTACACCCACTCCTATCTTCTGCTCTGATCTTGTCATTGGTTACAGCACCTTCCCTCCCTGATGTGCACTTATCTCACTTTGTTGTGGGGATGTGCTGCCAGGATTCTAACAATAAAAAAAGCAGATAGTCCTAAGCCTGTGAAACAGCCTGTCCTGTTGTGCCCCACAGTTCCAGCATTTCCAGGATCAGATGCCCACAGACTCCCCACCTCTTTGTCTCCCTGCCCATCTCTACTTCCTGCCATGTGGTGCAGATGCTGGTTAACCTGCACTGCTCACTCCTTGCTTCTGTTCTGTTTTTCACTGCTTTGTCCCCAAGCCTGTATCATTTAGCAGCTCCCTATGTAAAACACTTCCATGCTGCAGCTCCAGGAATGAGGCAGATGGTGGCAGGAATGTTACTGTGCTGCTGCCTTGGTGCTGTGAGCCTCGGGAGCAGTGCTGCAGGTGTGTGTGCTGCCAGAGCAACCGAACAGGTTGCCCAGGAGGCTGGGCAGGCTCAGTACACCACGTGGCCGTTCCCCAGTTGCCTTTCCTTGTTGTCAGTAGCTTGTGCCCTCAGCTGAACATCAGTATTGGCTGCTCCCTGCGTGGCTGCCGCGCTGTCCCCAGCGCCCTGCACAGCGAGCTGGCTCGGCCTTCCAGCAGGGAGCTATTTGTGGAGCAGCAGGGCTGGCCAGCACACTTAGATGTGCCTGTGGAGCAGAGCCATTGCCTGAGATCATGGGGCAATTATCAGAACCATGAGTTTCTCCATCTACAGATTCTCTCTGGGTGTGGTCACTGTGCCAGCAGCTCTAAATCCTGCCTCGTGAGCTCTGCTGGGAACATGATGGGCGATGCCTGGCATCTGAGCTTTAGCAGGAGGATGAGTTAGGTGCTTTGACACCACATTCAGCACTCCAGTAAAAGATCTGCTGACATTTTCTTTTTCTTTCTTTTTTTTTGTAACCCAGCTCACAATAACTGTAGCAGATTAAGACTCTGCACAAGCTCTGATTTTTTTTTCTCTCCTTATTCCTTATAGATTCAGCCGCACTGCTGTTGTAGCTGGAGGTTGGAGCACTAGATGCTGTATATGAGGGCTGCTCCAAAAGTAATGCCTTCTATTTTATCATGTTGGCCCACTGGTGGTACAGCAGTAGAATTGGAACCTCCCCATTACATCTCCCTCCTCATTACATCCTGTTGCTGAGTGACAGATGGTAGCAGAGGGGCACTGACAGAATGGTGTCTGACATGGAGGTGCGTTTGAAGCAAAAGTATGTCACTGAATTCCTCCACGTGGAAAAAATGGCACCCATTGACACTTGCTGGGTGGTTCTGATGTGCAAACAGTGCATGTGAGCACTGTGATGCAGTGAGTGTTGCATTTCAGCAGTGACAAGCCATGTTCTGGACAGCCGTGCACAGCTGTCCCACCGTGAAATGAAGCGCATCTCCATCAGCTCATCAGTGTGAATCAGCACATTACGACCGGGAACCGTGTGTGGCTTCAATGCATTGGAATATCACAGAGCTTGCATCAGGTGCATCCTACAAATGCTCACACAGGAACAGAAAGAAAAACATGTGCAATCTTAGTAGGACCCACTGAACCAGTACAAGGCTGAAGGTGCCAGTTTCCTGGATTGTATCATTCCTGGTGATGAGACATGGTGATGAGACTGCAAGCCAGAGTCTGAACAGCAGCCCATGGAGTGGTGACGGGTAAACTCCCCATAAGGAAAAGGTTCACAAGTAAGTGTCGTGCACTGCCTGCTGGCAGAGCAGCCCGGCCAAACCATCAGCTCTGAGTGCTACGCTGCCTGCTGGCTGGGCTGAGGGCTCTAACTTCTACCTGGCTGCTGTGAGGTCAGTGATGTTACGTATCACCCTGTGCACTCAGAGCTGGGAACCTCTGAGATGCTTTAGACTGGCAAATAGCCATTATACAGAAGCTTCGATTAAAAAGAAAAAAAAAGGGGGAGGGGGGGAAGGAAAAGCACTTTGAGAATGTTTTCGTGGATATACCCACATATATTTGCTGGATAACGCACGCTCTGTGGCTCAGTGGGTGAGCGAGTGGTTCTAGAAACGCTGCGATCTGCTTTCTATGGAGCTGCAGCACGGCAGCGGGCAGGGCGGGCAGGGCGGGCACGGAGCGCTGAGTGCTGCGCGGAGCCCCGGGCGCGCACCGCTCACCGCCAGGCCTGCACACAGCAGCGCGTTGCGCGGCGCCGTTCCTTAGCGACGATCTTGACGTACGGCCGCCCGATTTCTTAAAGAGCTCAACTATTAAAAAGCAAGACACGGCTAAAGCTCTGAGGATGGGGACCAGAGCCGATCGGCCGCGCCCGGGGCCGCACAGAGCTGCGCTGCGGGGCGCCGCCCGGCTCCGCAATGCCCACCGCCCACCTCCACCTTTGCAGCAGTAAAATGCAGCACTCGCAGCGCGCATGCGCCTCCCCCCGGCCGGCGCCCCGGGATGGCTATTTATAGCAAGTGACGTCACCTAGAAATAGAACGCGAGGGAGCAGCGCCCCCCTCCCCTCCCCTGCAGTCCCCTCGGCTCCGCCCCCTCGTTGCCTTCCTAGCGCGCAGGCGCAGGCGGCGGCAGCAGCGCGAGGCTCCGAGCCGGGCGGAGAGGCGCGAGCTGCACGCGGCGCCGAGGGGAAGCGGCGAGCGCGCGGCTGCAGCCCGTGAGCGCGAGGCGCCGACCGTCACCCGGCGCGTGAGGCGCGGCGAGCCTAACGGTCGCCCGGCGAGCGGGCGGGAGGCGGCGGCTGCGCTGCGCTCTCCACACGCGCTCGTACCCTCGCACCGCCCGCGCGTCCCGAGGCGCGGACCCCCGCCCCTCTGCTCACCGTCTGAGGGGCTCAGCGCCCGGCCCGGCAGCCACCACGGAAGCGGCCATGGGGGACCGAGAGCAGCTGCTGCAGCGAGCCCGCCTGGCCGAGCAGGCGGAGAGATACGACGACATGGCCTCGGCCATGAAGTCGGTGAGTGGGGCGGGCGGCGTGGCGGGGGAGGGGGGTGAGGAAGGACGTCCGGCCCGGCGCGGGGTGGGTCCGGGCAGGATGCGGCCGCCGCGTCCCGCCCGTGGCGGTGAGGAAGGGAGGGGGTGGGCGGGAGCGGGGCCGTCGGCACTGGATGCTCCCGCCCTGCGCAGCGCGGAGCCGGGCGGCGGCCCGAGCCCCCAGCCCCCGTCCCTCCGGAGCTGCTTTTCTCCCTCCCTCGTTTCTCTCTCCCCCTCGTAACGACGCCCGCGCCTCCCGCTCCGTCCCTGCCCGGGGGTGTGGCCGTCCCTGCGCCGCCAATCGGGCGCGGTGCGCTGCGGCCGTTTGAACGCCGCCCGCCTCAGGGCGGAGGGAGCGCGCTGAGCCGCCCCGCCACCCCGCGCCTGGGGCTGAGAGCGGGCGGTGCGACCCATCCGGGGCTGAAGGGGCGCGGGGCGGGGTGGGATGGCCGCGGGGGGGGGACTGAGCAGCGCGCGGCAGGAGGAGCCCCTTCCTTTTCTAGAGGGTTCTGCCGTAGAGGCTCCGAATAGGGGCCTCCCACGGGCGTGCGCGCTGCGATTCGAAGATGGAACTGTGATCGCATCCGGGTATAGAAGCTGCTTGCTGCACGCAGAATCTGTTTCCTAAGCTTTAACGTTGCCTTCTTGCCTCTTTTTGTAGGGTAACGTTCTCAGTGCGTTCCTTATACAGTTGAATACTGACATGTGTTTTACACTAAGCTACAGCTGCGATGAAAACGAGTTGTACTGACCTGTTTGTACTGGTACATAATAAAACTGGAGAATGACCAAACCTCATGTCGAGTGTCTCTTTTTAAAAAAAAACAAAACGTATCTGAATTCTGAAGCCCGTATTAATGCTGGTAAAAGTTTAGCAAAGGCCATTACGGTATTTGCTGTATCTAATTGCAACTGATTTAGTCTTGTTGATCTCTTTTTTTTGTGAACACCAAAAGGCCCCAAGAGAACCTTGGTTTCTCTTGAGAAATAGTGCTGCATAAAGACATGAGAAGACTGGGTTGAAAGAGCAGCTGCAAATCGAGTTCACATCATGAATTGATTCTTGCAGAAAGTCTCCTTCAGGGTCTGTGTGATGTATGTTACATCTCTTAAATGAGGGCAGGAATTAGACATATATTTTATCTTGCTTTTTAATGTCTAACTAACTGCTTACTGTGGCATAATAAACACTAGCATCAATCTAGTTCTAAAGCACAAATACTTCTGAGTATCTCAGTATTAAATGCAGTTGATGTAAGCTGTCTTTCAGTGATATTATTAAAATTCCTGATACCTATGGTGAAGTAGTAACAGCTTCATTCACCTGAAGAACACTTCACCACTATTTCTGAAGGATGCAACCAGGAAATCACTAAAATTCACTGCTGCTCTGGAAGACACCATTTCTAGCTGTACCTGGTAGCTTTTTTTCCCCCCAGCCATTGCTGATCTGCAGGATATATATGGCTCCCTGAACATGTGAAGCAAAAAGAACATGGTTGCTCTGTGTCAGGAAATACGTAAAGTAGAAGTAACTAGTGTGTATGTCCTGTTGGCATCTTAAACTGAACTACTGCTCAGTTTTCATTCATTGAGTTTCGGTATTCTGTAATTTTGCAAGAAACTGTATAATGATGAGCTTCTGTAATTTGGAGCTTGCTAACACTGTAGATGAGCTGTCTTTAGCATGTATGAAATGTTATAAGTACTGAAATATAAAAAATTAAGCTGAATTTAAAGGGCAACAGTTGCCTCCTATTAGGCTGTCCATGTAAAATTTTGTCTTAAGGTATGAGTTGATTTTATAGGTGTGAGGTGAAGCACATTGTGCACTCAGATGTTAGACTTCCTTCAGCAGGAAGCCAGTGTTGTAAATCGGATATCTAGTCTCATTGCAGGATATTTTGATTTGAAAGGATTCTTAAAAATATTCACATAGCGTATTTGATTCTTTTTTAATGGTGCTGTGTGAACATGCTGTATTTCCTGTGTAATGGAAATGCAAACAGTTAATTTCAGCTCCAGGTATTTGCCAGCGTGTTTCTACAGCACACAATATTGTCAGCAGCCTGGCAGTTGCTCTTAAAGCGTGAAGTGACAAAGATTAGTGTAGCAAAAGCATATTTGGGCAATATTTGGGGCTTCCAGTGAAGAAGAAACATGAAGAGACTCTTATCAGCTGTTGCTATAAAGGTGGAGGAACACTCATTGTCAGTCCTGTCTGTTCAGTCTTCTATAGAAAAGCCAGATGATACAGCTGTTGTACCTTAAATAAGGAACCTACTGTTAAAGAATACAATTTTTGTTGCTGTTTGTTCTTAGAATTTTGCTGTTTCTGCTTGTATCTGTACTTAAAATAGAAGTATACTTCTATTAGTAGCTATTTATCTATGTAATTAAGTTGCTGTTATAAGTCAATGGGTTTAGTCAATATTATTTTCATATGAAGTACATGCATATGTAAAAGTGCCTCTGCCAAATTCCATCCTTCCAAGGACAGTAGCAATCTCACTGCATTGAGTGCCACTTTAAATTTCCAACTGTTTGAAGTAATCCTACATGGTAGGTAAAAATTGACTTCCGAACGCACTGGGGAAAAACATGCTGTTATTCTAAGAGTGTTTAAAGTGCTCATTTGTTGGAATAAATATTGTTCCAACAAATTATTGAGCAGATTGGGAACGTGAATGCTTTTGGTATTAGACTGTTCCAGAAATTGACTTTAAATGTTGATTATAAATACTAAATAAGCTGAATAGTTTTGCTTTGTAAACTGAGTGAGTCAGTATTAGTTCCAATATATAGTAGCATGTAGTAGTTTTTTAATCAGTGTTGCTTTTCTGGTAAAGGTACGTAGCAGGTATTGAAAGTTGAGATGAATCTCAGTTATGTGAGATGTGTAATTTTGAAATGAGGCATGTGAAGGACATTTACTTCACCCTAAGAAAATTGAGTCTTGGTATATTCTAAAGCTTTAATGTGAACAATGTCCTTCCCTGCTGTGAGATGATCTCCACTGTGGTTTTGTAACCACAGTAAATTTATCTGTAACAAAAAAAACCCAACCTGAAGCCACACAATGCAAGGTACTGCTCTGGCTTAAATGAATTCGTCTGGTTTGTTCAGAAATAATGAACAGTATTCATTATGAACCTTCTCAGGATAGTTTTAATCATTAAATGTGGCTTTCCTGCTCAGGTACAGTCTTTTGGTGCAGCAGCTCATTAAGAACTTACCGAGTTGTGACAACTGTGTTCTTGCTAACAGAACAAGTGCAGTCTCACACGTGCAGTTTACCTGGATCAGACTGATGCCATTAGGTAACCTGACACTGCATTCATCTACTGTCAGTTCCAGAACCATTGGTTTGGTGAGTTTTCATTGTAAAATTAACTTGGCTTGATGTGGCCCATGTAGGATCACACTAATGGAAGTCAGTTCTGCTCTAGGAAGCCCAGTGTTGTGGCCAGGATTCCTTTTATGTACCTAGACTTCTTTCTCACTTAACTATCAGAGAACTTGGGCAAAGAGCTGAGGAGGAGATACCTCTAAGTACTGTAGAACCTAAATTTAGTGGATTTTTAACACTTGTGAACTGCTAGTAGATCATAGAATGTATATTCAGCTGGCATTATCTTGCAGTCCTTAGAAGATGATGCAAACTTTGGTGTCAGAAATATGCTTGCATAAGAAAAGTAGAGTTACGCATCAGAAAGTTAATAGTCATACTACAAACTTTTTTCTCTTAAGTGCTCTTGTTTTTCCTGATAGCCACTATAAAAAAAACTAGGTCAAAAAAGTAGAAGTGCATTTCTTAAGGAATCATCAACTCCAGATAACACTATAGGTAGAGTGGAAAACAAGAAACGTTTCCTTTAGCATTTCAAGTTTTCTTTTCTACATCATCCCAACACAAAGAGAAACATGTCTGTTTTTATGTAATTTGCTGATGTTCTGAAATTGATAAAGCTGCTGATAAGCATTGCTTTCCTTTCATTCTAGCTTCTGGTAATATAGCTGTTTGTGTTAAGGCTGTGGGTGTGATTTTTATGTATGTCTGCACAAAGGATCGGCATTCTTTTAGCTAGGATGGAGGCTAGTTTGCCATTTCTCCTCCAGAAATCACCTTTGAGATGAGATAGAAAGGGTTCAACATTAATGAAATAAAAATGGGGAGGTGGAGTGAAAATGACACTGACATCCTGAAGGTTGTTGAAAGATGACACTGGAAAGAAGAGTTCCACTGCAAGCATTGGAAACTTCTGCCATGGAAAGAATCACTAGTGGGAAACAACTCTTGCAATGCTGAGTTCTGCACAGGTGCTTGGTGCTGCTCACGTGAAAAATAGTTCTTGGTTTTTACATTAAGTTAACAGCATCTGCCAAGGGGTATGAATACCACTTGTGAGTGTAATGGTTCTGATACTTCAACTGTACTGTATCTGAAAAGTAATTCACTTTAATTTCAGTTATGGAGAAGGAAAGAAAGGTGGAAAGGCATTTGAGGGGTCGATCTTTTGCAAATGCTGTATCCTATGCACGCGCAGTTTATGAATCAGCATTTTCAGGGTGGATGTTGTGATACATTTTCTGCAATTGAAAATGAGTAATGTCTGAAGAGAGAAAATAGGCTAGGAAAAAATCTAGAATGCTCTTTCGAGGCTAATGATACTGCTGTAGGGTTATACTTTGTCCTGAGACAAATAGGATGAAATTTTGAAAACCGATAGTTTCCATCTCCATACGTAAATACGCGAGCTGTAGCATAGTAAACGAGTAGGTTTACATCATGTTTTTTTGATGGTTCTTATGGCATTTGTTAGATGCTGCAGAGTATTATTTAGATGTCCACCAGTGGAATGACCAAGTAATTATTAATCTCTGGTGGTTTTGATTTTTTTTTTAATATTATTTTTGTAAAAGCAAACACTATCCTAACAGACTGGGGGAAGAGAAAGGCCTTAGCTAAGCCTTCACATCCTGAGGGAATTGATGTCTTTACTAGAGATGATGATAGAAGTGGGTCTGAGTAGAGACTGTGTCTGGGAAAATGGGGCGTGGAAGCTGTGAAGAAGCTTGTGACAATTACATAGAGTTGATTCCTGTGCATTTACTATCTGTAGGTTGTTTGTCATTGTATCAGGGTGGGCACAGCGGTGTCTTTGGGAGTTCAGCTCCCAGAGCTGTGGGAAAAAGGCATTTTGGAGGTAACTCAATTTGAAGTAATCTCCCTTTCTGAGAAAGTTAATTTTTATAATTATTTTTCAGGCTTGGCAGGATCCATGTTTGCTGGAGAGTACACTGCTTACACCAGTGGTCTCAAAAGAGTGTAAATATTTGTGACAGTTACTTGTAGCTTGCAAATTTGGCTGCAGACACTGTGTGTCATGGAAATATGCACTTTTTTGGGAAGTAGTTAATTTTAGCAGTGCATGAGCAATGGTAGTTTTATCTTCAATTGGAAGTGCGTATCCTTACAATTCTATGACTTCCAATGCAACTAATCAAGTATGCATGAAGTAGTGGGGCTGTGATTTTCAATTTAATTCCTATTAACTTAATTTCATATTTGTAAACTTGCAAAATTTGAACAAATCTGAGTGACTGTAAGTCTGAAAGGTCTTTTTTTCTAAGCAGCACAAAGTGAAATAGGGCTAGATGTAGTCTTGGATGTTCTACCCTTCCCTTACTGCAGCTTTAGTAGTAAGAACTTAGGTTTTTTCCCTAAATAAAAACAAAACAAAACAAAAACAAAGAAAATAACCCTCATTTGTTCCACCTATGCAATTTCGTTTATATCCTATCCTTCAAACTTGCTTGCAGCCACCAGTCAACAGAAATCAAGCTAACTTCTGTATTACTCCGTGTAATTGCTCACTCAGTGAATGAAAGACAGTATGAAGCACTAATTCCATTTGTACTATGCAGAGTATAATCCTAATGACTGCAGCTCTTCCATCTCTGCTGTTGAATGAAAAAAAAAAAAGCAACAAAGGAAAGAAATACAAGAACTGCAGCAGTTTCCAGTGTCTGTGCTGTGTTCCAGACTCATAAAACTGATATTCTAGGTACATTTAAATTCATTGTTAAGTTTGTAGTCTGCATAATTATAGCTAAGACTTGTAGGAGTTAAATCCTCCAAACGCTTCTTTGTTACACCAGCCTGACTCACTCTTTTTTGGTGAATGTGCTTTGTAATGGGTTTTAAATACCAGCTCTATTACAGCAGAGCTGGGGGGAGTTCCATTCTTTTGTGTCTTGACTGCAGAAACAGCTTTCAAGTTTAAATGTTACAAACTGTTTTCTGGCTGGAAGGAATTTTGAATTTTGGATTTCATGATGGAGGTGCTGAAGGAAACTTGTTATTTCTGAAGATAAACCCTTTGAATTTGATCTTTGTGTTTTTTCAGGTAACTGAGCTGAATGAGCCTCTCTCAAATGAGGACAGAAACCTGCTGTCTGTAGCTTACAAGAACGTAGTTGGAGCTAGACGATCCTCCTGGCGTGTCATCAGCAGCATAGAGCAGAAGACTATGGCTGATGGGAATGAGAAGAAGCTGGAGAAGGTTAAAGCCTATAGGGAGAAGATAGAAAAGGAACTTGAGACAGTCTGCAATGATGTTTTGGCTCTCCTCGATAAGTACTTGATCAAGAACTGCAATGACTTCCAGTATGAGAGCAAGGTTTTTTATCTGAAAATGAAAGGAGATTATTACCGCTATTTGGCAGAAGTTGCTGCTGGAGAGAAGAAGAACAGTGTTGTGGAAGCCTCAGAAGCTGCCTATAAAGAGGCCTTTGAAATCAGCAAAGAGCACATGCAGCCTACTCACCCAATTAGGCTTGGGCTGGCACTCAACTTCTCGGTGTTCTACTATGAAATCCAGAATGCTCCTGAGCAAGCCTGCCTTTTAGCCAAACAAGCCTTTGATGATGCCATAGCAGAGCTGGACACACTAAATGAGGATTCCTACAAGGACTCCACTCTCATCATGCAGTTACTTCGAGATAACCTCACTCTGTGGACGAGTGACCAGCAAGATGAAGAAGCAGGAGAAGGCAATAATTAAAAAGCTTTCCTCTGATCTGTCTTTCATCCACTTCACAATCCCCGTCATCACCAATATTACCTTGCCACAGTCACACTAAATATCTAGTGCTAAGCATATCTGTATTGTACAGCTGTTCAGATTTGCTGTCCACTTTATCAAGAAGCAGTTTGAGATGAGCCTTCATGGGTGTTGATGGATTGATTGGTTTATTGGCCCTAGTAATCTTAGTTGCACTTTAACAGTGCAGAAAGATATATATTAAATGAGGCATTTTTAGTTTGCCTGTTGATTAGAACAGACGAGAGAGAATAATGGAAAACGATTGAAGATGATTAGATTCCAGTTTAAATTTTTGCCATTTGAAATGAGCTGACTGTTCTGTTAAGCAGTACATTTTGTGCATGCAAAGTAAACTAGCCACCTCAATTTTTTTTCAGTCAATGCAAACAGTTGAGCTGATGTGAAATGACAACCCTGTTCATCAGTTTACAATAAACTGTTTGAAATGTGAAGTTTTGGTAGCAAATTTTTTTTTGCCTCTTAACTTATGTGCACAGTTTATTTTAATGCAGTGCATCTACCTAAGAGTTTTGATACTTGTAACCTTTTGCAGTTGTTTTGAAGAATCATGAATTTATTTTTTGTAAACTCTTTGGCTGTTTAGTTGTCTGTGTATTCTGACAACACTATGTCAATATTAGCCCATGTTAAGATGGATGACCGAGATGCCAGACTTCTAAATTAAATGTTTTGGAATTAAATAAAATAAAATGCTGCTTCGGGGAATATTATCTCTACATAAGCTGTCCTGTCTTTTGTTTGGAGTAAAGACTGAGTTACTTAGTTTATCACTGCTAAGTTAAAACATTTCATAAATGAGAAGGCGTCTGTATGCTAACAACAAATGAGCAAATAACAGTATGCTAAAAAGAAGAAAGAAGCCCACAGCATCTAGAATGGTACTTCTTACCTGAGGTAAAATGGAGTTTCCTAAGGTATGTGTTAGTTGATGTACTTGGTAGAGCAGCTGTAAAGCAGTTCTGCTCAGAAGCTAAAAAGTATAGAATATTACTTGTTTACACCAGTGTAGAGACTTATATTATTTTCTTCTGTCTGCAGTAACTTCTGAAGTGTTTTTTTTTTTTTCAGAAGTGCTAACCACCAAATTGTATTTATACATTAGAATTCCAGTAGTGTTATTTTACCTAATTCTAGCAGAAGCAGTATTTAATCTTAGTGAATGCCTCTCTGTTCTAACGAACTTAAATCTAGTCCCCAGACTTACATTTTGCTTCTTTCTCCCCAACAGTTAGAATATATTTATTGGTTCCATCCATACTTCTGTACTGATGTATTACAGAAGCAGGAAAAGTTAGTTGTTGTTGTGTAACGTGTGGCTGTATCCAGACTGCTACTGGCACCTGGGCTAGCTCAAAAATCATGTAAGTTCTCAACTTATCTAAATCCATTTTTCTATGACTTAATAAATACTAGTGGCCTAAATGCCCACAGCAAGAACTTCTCATGCTTTTTAGAAACAGTGAGCTGCTTTCTTTTAAATATCTGGAGAATTAAATTTTTTAAGGATAGATTTGTTCATATGTTTTCTAGTCTCCTAGGGAATTCTAGATATATTAGTTACGTTTGTGATAATCAGAAGGCTTGTACAACATCTGAAAAAGATGTAAGTTAATCTTGATGTGCTGTTGTATGATCTGGACATGCTCGATTCCCTACTAAACTGACATAACTCCCACCTTGAGTTATGTCCTTAATACCAATTACTGCTGTGTGCCCATGGCCTACTCTGGAAGTTATTTTTTCCTGTATGCTCTTTGCTCAAATAGTACAAATGTTTGGCTTCCCTCCGCCCCTAATTACTTATTAGAGCCTTCTAGCCTGGCAAATAATACTCTTTTTGGACTTTACCTGTCTCAGGTATGGTGCTTCTACATTTGTTCTTCCTTTCTTTCCTCTCAAATATACATACCTGCCAAATGGAACCGAAACTTTGACAATAAAACTGCCTTTTTATATTGAAACACTATAGCTATTTAATCACTGTTGGTAATTGCTAAATTTTTTTTTCATGTTTTTGTAGGTACTGATTTATATATGTATATATATATATATACATACATACGTATATATCTATACGTATGTACATGTAAGTATATATAGTTAATTAAGGGCTAAGGAGTCTTTTCTCATTTTAATTATTGCCTTACACAGCTCCTTTGTCAGTGGGTCTCTGACTTCTGCAGGCTAACCTGTTGAAGATTAACTACTGAACTTATGCCTAAGGTCCTAAATGGAAATGAAAAGCATTCTGTGAAATTTTATGATTTCTGGGTGTATTTTCCTTAATTGCCATTAATCTGGATAAATCTTTACTGACTATCACGAAGTATAAAGATTTGTTTTGAAATAGTTTAATTTGCTTGAAGGGTGGATCCCCTTCTCCCGAGCAGTGTAAATTTCAACAAATTCATCAGTTATAACCATAAATGCAAGCAGATGAGAAGGTGGTTGGAAGATATTAGGAAGATGTGTGTAAAACTGAAGTTATAATTAATTTCTTGATGAACACTGTATTCTTACGGTGTTTTATGTAGTTGGCTGGAAACCGTCTAGGTTTTCTACTAGGTGTCAAGATCTAATAGTGTAAGTAAACATGGCTGGAAAGAAGAAACTGCCTTCTAAGAATTTCTTGCTCTAGAATCTTTAGAGGAACTCTCCAGAAGTACTAGGAATAGCAAGAGCTTCCTTATCACAAGATGACCTGAAGTTTGGTAGTGAACTGACAAGTGCAGGTAACTTACTGCCAAGTGGTCCCAACAAGGTAGAATTAAGTGACCAGGACATTATCCCAAGTTGGTCTTGAATTAGAATATCTTCATCTGAAATATGAAAGTTAAAGTTCAGTAATGAGGAGCAGCTGGTAGGTTGCATTCCTCTAAATAAATGGCATGCAGTTATGCTGGGCCATGTGTGGGCTTGTAACATAATTGAAGCTACCCTCTCAGTGTATCTGGAGGAGATCTCAATAATGATGATGCTCTTTTGAGGAGGATGAGCTTCAAGGCAGGTAAGTGAAATTATGTGGGTGTATTAAGGTGAATCCACAGGCACAATATCACGGTCCCAGAAGGAAGAAAACCAATGTATGTTATCTATTCTCTGTCAGCATGAGACCCACCTGAAGTCCCTTGGCAAATGTGTCGCAGGAATGCTCAGCCAATCACCTTGTTGGTTGAGATGTCCTATCTTTTTTTTCTCATATTTCATTGCATTTTGATAATTTTAAATTACACAGAGAATTGGATCAGCACACTTAGTAGCCTTTGGCCTTAAATCTGTTAGGCAATTTATAAGATAACCAATCTGTTTTAGACAATATAGCCATCCCTTTAGTATCCTCAAAAAGAGAGAGAAAAAAAATTCTTTTTGCTTTTAGCAAAGCTTGTTCCAGAGCTGAAATGAGCAGCTTTTTGAATCTATACCTGCACTTCAAGTAATTATATTCCATACCACGTGCCAGCTTAGTGTCTCATTGAAATTTATCTTTGCATGTCCTTAAACAAGGGCAAAGGTGTTTCAAAATACATATGTTGTGTGAATTCTGTCTGGAAAGTGAGTGGATGCATTCCTGACGGAGAGAAGCACTTTATTAAGTATAAAATAATTGGACAGTGTACATATAATTACTAAAAATTGTCAAGGATCGACATGTATGATTACATAATTGAAGTGCAATTACATAATTATTTTAAATAAAATACTCTCTGTTACTTATATATTAAGTAATAGTACTAAAAAGTAGAAAATAAATGTATATTTATTTATCTTATAGTTCCTGGAGTCCTTCATCACCTTTTTTCTCATTTGCCAGAAACGCTGTTCTCCAGGGTAGTGCTTAGATTGTCAGTATACACAAATTCTGGTTGGCTTTGGTTATAGCACCTGGTAACCCCGAGCTCCAGTTACTGTGTGCAGAAATTGTTAGTGGTAGATTTCGGTTTTGAGGTTAACATGCGTAGTAGCCTTGGGAACCTGTAATTAGCTGGAATCTCTGTGCTGTCATTTGAGTATTGCAAATCAGTTGGATCTGATCTACCTCAAGCATTACGGTCAGATGAATTGTTCTCATTGCATTGGGTATTTTTCTGCAAATCCCAGAGTACGTTAGGGCAAAGCACTGTGAACTTTCTGTCAAGTGATTATCAAGAAATCACTTACCTATGATTATGCAGTTAATATGAGCTTTTTTTCTCTCACATTTTCACATCAATTTGATAATCCAATAAATGTGATTGGTTCCACTCTAGAATTTAATTTGTTAGTAGTTAAATCCATCTGTCTTTAAAAAATCATCTAGTTTAACAATACATTTAAGGAGAGAAACAAATCAAATCACATCATCCGTGTGCCTTCCAGCAGTGTGCTTGAAACCAGGTAATACTACATACATCTATTATATTTGGAGAGCTGTATCTTCAGTAACGATCATTAGTCAGTGTTCTCTCAAACAGAAGCTACTGAAAGAGTAAAGCACAGATTTCTATCTTGAACACACAGTATGGAAAGAGGCAGAACTGCAGGGGATTGGCAAGGAAAGCATTTTGCTCATAGGTGTTTCTGGCTGTTGCTGTGACCTTGGGTTCAGGAAAGAACATCTGACTTTTGCAAGGAGCAGAAACTAGTAGATGTGTTAGTAACATAGTAACCAACTGGTTTTTGTGGTGAGTAAATAGAAGAAGGAGAATATTTTCACTGGGGAAAAAAAAAAAAGAGCAAAAAAAACCTGCTAATTTGTCCCGTGTTTGTTTTTACTGAAAAACCAAATTGTTATGTTTTAAGTACAATCCTAGGTACTTCAGAGAGAAACCTGCATAGGGAAGTCGAGTTAGAGGTGCTGGAACTTTAAAACTTGACCCAGAATGAATTATTTTTGCTGTGTGTTGTGGAGGTCTGTGCTGTGAAGGAACAATCCAGCGCAATTGGGCACCGTCTGTAGCAGCTTCCTGCCCCCATGGCAGAGCTGTCCTGGAGCAGTGATCCCCATTACTGTCCTTGCCATCCAAATCCACAGATGGGAGCAGACAGCCTGAGCCTGTTTTTGGCAGGAGGTGGCACAGCTCTCTCCAAGTGCCCGCTGGCTGGCCGTCATGTTGGGTCACTGCTAAAATTCCAGCATGTCCTTTAAGGGCAGGAACGAATCCCTTGATTCTCTTGTGTTACCTCAAGCTTTTTAAGGACTGCTATTTGCCTCTTCTGAAACAAGTCCTATTAAGCTTCTCCGGGCTGTAAAATGTCTTGGGACAATGGGGGAGCTGAGATGTTTGCTGTCATCAGCATCATCAGTGTGATGCTTTTAATACACAAGAATGCTCTGGTGCTGTTGCTGATTCATTCCCCTGGTTTTCACAGCTGAGACTTTCTTGCTTTCAGATAATTCCTGCACTTTTCTGTGTTAATAATGTTCATTTTTTGAATGTGGCAAAGAGTAAAACGTTGCATTGAACATCATTAATTACAGAAAATAAACTGTACTGTGAATTTGAAAATATCTCATTTACAAGTTGTTAGGAGCTACTGGAATAGAATCTGTAGTAATTTCTGGCAAGGCTGATTTGGAAAGCATTATCACTTTCTGAGTATAAGATAAGATTTATTGATACAATTTTAGTATATCTACCTGTTACAATAATTTTGAGTTAGTGTTTTATATTGCTAAGAAACAAATGTGTAAATTCCACAAACTGCTCATCTAAATTTCACCTTGAAAGTTATCTTTCTTCTCCTTTGTCAGCTGAATGTTGTTTCTTTGAAGAGGAAAGTTAAAATCCTAAGAGTGGGATTGCAATAGCACTTTCTAATGGTTGTGGATCTCTGGGTAAAGGTGGTAGGAATTATTTATCCTTTTATCTTAATGCAATCACAGTAACATCAATTAGCAGGTGCATAGGAAACAGAAAGTGAAGAACACCTATGAAATAATTTGTGTAAGTTGTTCTTGCTGGTAAATATATTTTCTGTTCTTTTAGTTTGTTCTTTTTTTTTATTTGGATTAAAGTGGGACATAAGCTTGAAAAAGCTGTCTGCAGGCTTTATTGCTGTGTCTCAGTAAATTACTTTGTTCGCATTGGTGAACTGCATTTTCTTACAGGTTATTTTTCTTCTATTACCTGTGAGCTTTATTGTGTGATATTAATAGGAGCTGAATTTCTTATTCTTAATTAACGTAGAACACCTCTCTGTGGAACTGTAAGGCATAGCATTTACTGTGTCAGTGAAGACATTAGTGTGTATTACTGTTTATGATTTAAGGGAATGCATTTTAAATGGCTAATAGATTTTTTTTAGTTACATTTTTTCAACTTGACCTTTGCTCATTTCACATTTTTCCCCCTTTTGTCTGTTAAGTCAGCTCTCAACATTGTTTTTGTTGTTGGTACACATGCTAGTGTGTATCAGTGTTTGTCCAGAGGCTTTATCAGAGCTCAAACTGAAGGACATTATAATTTACCTTGTATTTTACCACTTAAAAATAGCTGTGTCTTCAAATAAGACTGCAGTCTGAAACATACCTTCATTAATGCAGATGTTTCAGTCTCATAGCTCAGCTTTTTAAGAAAAATTAAAATAAATCCCACTATGTCCTATTTGTTCCCTTCTCTTGCATCTTTTCATTACATGTTCTCCATGCCATGATTTCCTTCCTCCCCCACTCTCCCGCAATGAATATCTTTTGGTAACTACATGAAGATGTAACTGATGGATGGGGCCTCTCAATTGTTTGAGAAGAGCCAACATAGCCTGAATTTTGCTTGTGATGTGCACAGTTAGCTGTTCTCTGAATATCTTTTAGCTTAAGGAGTGCGAGGGCTGAAGAATAACTTTGTGGAATTGATGCTGGCCTTGATTTATGTCTATCTTTGGTATTTGTGCCTTTGTCCATCAGCAGCATGAGATATTTTTCTCTCTTTCTACTCCTCCTCCCTTTTTCCTGTTTCTGTCCCTCAGTCACCACATCCTTCCTATTGCTGCTTATCGCAAGAAGAGATTTTTCTTCTCTCTGCTGCCTGTGATTAAACACCTGGAACGCTGCCAGCCTGATGACTGCACAGTTTTGCAAAGAAACTCCTTTGAGATTTACTGCAGTGAGGCTGTTTCTTGAAATGCATTGCTCTGAAGGAGTCAGAATTTATGTACTCTTAATTCTTGTATAGGTTTTGAGAATGCTTAGCATGGTAAGTGCTACTACTAACAGAATAACAGCAACAATCTGCTTGAGGTTCCCTAGTAGAAAAATGTTTGTTACAAGTTGTATAAAATTCTTCATCAAGAAAACTATTTTTCTTTCAGCTGAAATACGCACACAGCTGAGCTGATTGATGTTCTGCTACTATTGAGTTTTGAGATTCTGCTCTTGAGGGTTAGCCTGAAATGAGTTGCACTGACTGCTATGCACCAGTTAGGCAAGTTCTATGCTCTGATATTTGAAATTAGTTCTGAATCGTGTAACTGAGGTTCATCTTAGCTTCGGCTGTAAAAAAAACAAAACAAAACCATAGAAAAATCACTTTTGATAGATGTCACAGCTACAACATTACTTTGCTCTTCAGTCACAATTGCTACATCTGACTCTGCATTGACTCCTGCAATGAATGGTGGAGGGTGGTTATCTGTGTGAATTAAACTAAACATTCTGCTTAAGAAAGAATACGTGAATATCCTTGCTGGATAGAGAATACTGCATGATATACAGACTGAAGCTTCTTCAATAATGTTGTCATAAGTTTTAGACTTCAAGATGTCCTCTGAAGGCTCTGTTTTTTTGTTCCTTATCCTCCAGACAAGGCTGTGTACCCTGATAAAGCACCATGTATCAGTCATGTCAGTTTCATTGCCACCAGGCTTGTCTCCCAGAGTTTGGGAGCCATTTAGCACAGAGCTGCTATAACATGGCTCACTGGCTGGGACTGGGTGGAATTCAAAGGCAGTTCAGCGAATGCTCTTCCATCTTGGTGAGAGTTTGGAGAAGCTTTCAAACAACAGAAAACAAATTTTCATTTGTAAGTTAGCCAAGTTATTGTTGTCTTAAATTCAAGTGCCAGAAAGCACCACCAAAACCAGAAAGAAGAGAGCAAAAGAATCTTCTGAAGCCCTATAAGACATGACAGTAACAGCAGGCAGTGCTGTGACAGAGCCCCTGAGAAAATGGAAATGCATTAGAAAAATACCTTGTCTCAGAAAAAGAAGCCAGTATATTCCATAAAGTATGCCTTCAGTTAGTGCCTCTCTGGAAATTTCTGGCTGTTTCTTACAACTCTAACCTAAATAAGGTATTATCAAAGTAGAGAATGAATTTAAGATTTTTAAAAAACAAATGGTATTGTTGTTTCTTTGTGTTTTTTTTTTTTTTTTTAATCCCTTCTGTACTTTTTTCAGTCTCTTGCCTTTATACTCTGTCCCTCTTTTTTTTCCCCTTGCCTTTATTCTTCTCACAGGGCTCATATTTTCACTTCTGTTATCTTTTATCCTGCTCTTCTGAGTCCTCTTGTCCTCCCTGACCTATCTTCCCACTTAAAATACTTTCTTCCTGGCCTCATGGAGCATCGCCATGGTGACTGTGTGATGTCACTGCATGGGGAGCTGTTGCCCAGGAAACTGTGTGATGTCATTGCACTAGAGACAGTCACCATGGTTACTGAGTTGATTGAGGTAACTGGGAATAAAGGAGTTGTTATCAGACCAGAGCCAGGAAATGCTCCCTTTAATGGTAATAATAATAAAAAAAAGACACTACTTGTGTATTTCTGTTCCAGGGTGGTCTGCCTGTGATTCAAAGTCCCCAGTTCTCTTTCTTGTGAGCAGTGTGCTCAATTTGGGCTTCTTTCAGTTGGGCTGAGTTATCTTGCTCATCTGTTTCTAGTCTTGAATGTTACTGTGGACATTATGCCACAATAAAATGGAAAAAAGAACTATGTTGTCCTATGCTTCTGTGTAATGTGTGTTCCCACCTGTTGTTGCTGTTTACTTTTTCCTGTTCAGTTTCTTTTTTTCTATGATGAATAGTCCAGTGCAGCTATGATCCCAGCTGATGTCAGAGATATGCTAACAGTGAATATTACATGTCTGAGCTTGCTTCATCTGCCCAAGGCTCTGTCTCTAATAGACAAGCTATTATTTGTGTTTCACTTCTTTTCTGCCTTTTACCTGCTTTTTGTTTTTCGTTGTAGTCATTGCAGGAGTTCCAGGAAAAGTCCAATGTGAAAGGTGAAGCAGAAATTAAATAAAAAGTAGGAGGCAGCTATTAGTGATGAAGATATGCAAGATTGCACTTCACTGAGAGCAGTGTGGACACGTGTGGCTGATCATGTTTCATGTGAGAATGCAGGAATTTGAATAGTGGTAACCATTCGTCTTAGTAAGTCTGTGCATGTGATGTACTGATCAGTAGCTCTTGCAGAATGTTGTCTATGTATAAATATGTATGTTTATATATTTACTGTTTACTTTAAATATATATATGTTTATATTTACTTTTTCAGATGTTCTGCAGAGTTGAAAACTCTGAAATGGGTTACCTGACAGTTTGTGTGGAGCTGAAAACAAGAATTCTATCAAAGAGGTATGGAGCGTAGTGCTGGCATGCCAAATATCTGAGGACAGAAATTTTGAGTTGGTGAAATGTTGACTGAAATCCAGGGCTCCTGAAATGTTGGGAGGAGACTGAAATGAAGATAGCATCTAAGGTTTGGCAAAACTGGGTGAAGAGTAGGGAAGAGAGAATATAATTTAATTGGGTAAAGACAGAATTTTTCAGGCTTAGTTATGAGGGAAACAAAGGAGTGACAATTGGGAATTTTGGGGGTGAAGTAGTAAAAAGCTTTTATTAGACTTAATCTTTCTATTCCCTTCTTCATTCAAGTACTATTTGTATAACTGTTTATTTGCTCACTGTACTGCAGAAAGTAATATCAACCTCTCTGCCAAAGTAACTGTAAAATAAAATTGTGTTTCACATCTGTATCTAGGTAGGCCAGCAGGAAACAGCAGTTATAAGAGATCAGATGGCAACAAGATAAAACAGCTAATGGAGGTGAAAAGTAGCAGTCAGTCAGCACTGAGAGGCTCATAACGGTCAGGTGAGAGACGTGGGCAATCACTAAGCCTGGGTTTCAGACGTGTGTGTAAGTTCTTAATTTCTAACCTGATAAATGTTTAGTTAATCAACATGCAATGGAGCTATTTGCAAATCTTTTGAGCTAGGGGACTTGCATCACTGTGAAATGTGGGTCAATAATTGTGGAACTTCCTGGAGTCACAATTTTATGGTTGCTAGAATGGAATACTGTTGAATCTGATATTGAAATGATATTTGATTCCTGCCATGAATGGTCACCTGAGTTAATTTTCCTGTTAAATAAGATTCAGAATGACCCCTGAATTTGTTTTTGTTCACTACAATACAATATGGGTTTATTATATTTAAATACGTTTTAAACATTTATGTTTAAATCACCCTTATTGGTAAAGAATGTGAAAGAAAGCAAGAAGGTGGAATGTATTTAACTGTCAGGAAGGTCAGTCATTGTATTCAGTGATATAACAAAACTAGAGATCTGATAAAGAATTACAGGTTTGTTTTCTACTACTGTCTGCTGCTCGGGATATCTGTATGTGAAAATCTGTCTGCAGTAGTGGGAGGCACCCTCCACTGTTAGAGGATGGACAGTCTTACAAGCAATGTGATCTCAGCTTTTGCTGAGCAATGCTTCCATCTACTGGAGAATTCTCTTCTTACAGTATTTGCTCTACTGTATTCTGAGACCTAAACTCTTGATAGTTAAAACCCCAAATATTTATTGTTTATGAATTATTCTGAAAACAAAGATAGTTCCTCTGTTCTATCAAGGAGCTAACACAAAGTGCTTTTACTTCTTTGCATTTGAAAGATGTATAGTTATCTACTTGTTTTGAGTCAGTACTCTGTTTTGTTGGTTTTTTTTTTTCTGAAATGCAGTTCTTAAGGTGGTAGTAATATAAATTGAAGTACAAAATGTAAAAATATCTTGTAGAGGGTGATTTGTGTGATTCGTTTGTGACATGAAATAATGATTTCGGGAAGCAACTTCAGAGGCTGTAGGATTACACCCATACTCTTTGTGAGCAAACAGGATCAAGGTAGGTATCCACTGAGACTGAGCATATATATTAGTGTCAGCATTAGAGAATTAGACTCAGTATTACTTGCACTGCTGCTGTACATCAGAGTTTGCCTGTGCTTTGCAAGGGTCACTGCAGGAGGCAATCAACACTACTGTAGTCAATACTGATTTGCCATTTAGGGAAGTGAAAGGTTTTTTTTCTAGTGGCTGAGAAGAAACAGTAGAAATAGTGGCTTCTAGTTTTCTTATTAGAATCTCCCTGATTCTTTAAGTGTGTTAAAGTGTCTGATTAGAAAATTTAGGAATAAACTTGTAAAATGTACAAAGACTAAATAGCAATAACATCAAAGTACCTTTGGACTTGATACAGTGCTATTATGAGTCACAGAATGGCTTGGCTTGGAAGGGACCTCAAAGCCCACCCAGTTCCAAGCCATGCCACAGCAGGGACGCCTCCCACCACAGCAGGCTGCCCAAAGCCCATCCAGCCTGGCCCTGGGCCCTGCCAGGGATGGGGCAGCCTCTGAGTAGAGCTTCTTCCTAATGGCTAATCTAAACTTACCCTCTTTTAGTTTCAAACCAATACAGCTTATCTTGTCGCTACACAAAGTAAATATAACAAATAAAAGTGATATCTTTATATGGAATTATATTTACAATTTACAATGAGTTTATATATAGGACTATGTGTATCAAAGTTTTATAGGTATGCATATACAACTGCATAAATGTGTGTGTATGCAACATAATCACATATGAATATAACACGGTAAGTAAATAAACAGTACTTAGCTCATTGCTTCTATGAGAAGAACACAGTGTCAGTGCACCTTGTCCCTGTCTCCATGCAATTACATGGTTCTGTGCCCTTTGGGATCATTAATACAATCAGATAAGTATCTTCATTCGTTCACGTGAAATCTTGATGAACTTCTATGATGGCCTTCAGTAAATAACTTTGTAAAATGCATCAGCTTTCACATTTCATGTTACCTTTAAGCTACTTGAAATACCTGTGCTTTATAAGGTGCTTTGTCTTTCAATACAGTAGCCATTCTAGGTGCTCCTCAGTTTATGGCAGAGAGCTCAAAAGATGTGCCAAAGCACAGGAATGGATTTTAGAGGTTTAAATATTTTCTATATTCTGTAAATTTTTTCAATGCCTGAAATGGTAGGAAGCATAGACTTCAGATTGGCATTGGTTGTTCTTCCATGGACAAATAGTTCAGGGTACTTTGCATTCATAATACCACATTTTATTTGTGAACTGGTCCTGTGTGGGGATGTTTCTGTGCTGTTGGGAAAGTAAGCAGTTCAGTACTTCTTAGTAGTGTGTATGCTGTCTCGAGTGTTTAGAAATTAATCTGTAAATGCTAGGAACACTACAGCCTATGTCCAAAATTAATGATTTATGTGGATAAATAATTACTGTTCATCTTTGCAGCCATCAGAAGTTGAGTAGAAGTACCTGAGCTGAATGTGCAGTTGAAGAAATTATGTGAAGCCCCGATGCAGAAACTTGTAGTTTTCCCTCTGTGATTACTTCACTTGCTGCAGCAGCAGTATTGTTTTAGTTATTTAATAAGAAGGATTTACTTGGAGGTCAAAAAACAAACAAACAAAAAAACAACTGTCATTCCATCATCTACGTGCAATATACGTGCAATTAGAGATGGCAGAAGTGCTTTTCTCTGAGTAACCATGCAGGAACACATTCTGCTGCTGATGTACATGCTTTTGTCCAGGAGTGTTTTGGCTGCCAGTATCACTGTGATTTGTCTGCTGTCCAGAGCCTTAGCAGACTGTGACTCACACAGGCTGGTCTGTGCACTGTGAGCTGAACTTTTGTTTCTTGTTACTACCTTTGAACTCAGATGGAGCTGCTTACTGTCAGTGTCAGTGGGTGCACGTGTTCTTGCTGCTCCACATAGTTTTCTCAGAAAGTAAGAATTCAGCATGCAGTCAGTTGACAACTTTAATATTCATTAGGAATCTACTCAGAGTGGCCACAGTTGCCCCTTATGTGATGTGGCTGTAATTATAGACAGTGGTGTATCCTGGAAGAACGTTCTCTTGTGTGTTCTTCATCTGCTAGGACTGCACACATAAGGAGATTGTGATGTTGATTTGATTAATGTGATTGAAATAATAAATCAGCATCAATTTCTTATTAGAATCAGCTCTCTAGTCCATTAAGAACAGGAATACATTCTTGTCTGTACCAAATTCACAAAAAAATCAGAAGAATTTTTTTCATTTGGAAAGTTAGTAGGCAGAAAATGTTTGAAGGTATTCCCCCAGTGAGTATATTTATACAGTATTAGGCGCAGTATGATGCTCCTTAAATATGAAGATAATATGGTTATTTCAAAGGAATAAAAATGTCTCTGTATGTAGAGGAAGAAGGGAAAGTAAATATTGATCTGAGCAGTTGAGTTGCATGGAAATCAATTTACTTCTCAGTTCCTGGGAAATGAGCATTGCAGCTGATTATTTATGGCTGCTGTATGCTGTAAAACTTTGTGACTGATGCATCATATTACAAGCTTTAGAGAGGTTGCTGCCTTCTATGCTTTTGTGATGCTGTGTTGTATGATGTCAACATTAGTTTTGAATATCATTCTAAGTCTCATGGAGTAGCAGCAGAATTGAATTCATTGTAATGCTCTTGATGTTCAGTTATGCTCAGCTTGGCATGATAGCTGTTATAAAGTCCTAATTACAGTGATCTATCCTGATGTGATCTGACTGAACAAATGAAAAGAAATTAAGCAGAGATGTCCATCTTCACAAGCTTGTATGATTTAACAATTTTGCTCTCTTTTTCCCTATGCCACCTGTAGTGGTTGAGTACACATCTTAACTACTCATTTTTATTCTGTTCTATAGGTTTTCTAGAGAGATCTTTCACAGTAGTTGTTCCATTGTGCACTTCAGTGCTACGTCCACCTTCCTTTCTTCTTTCTTTTTATTAGATCTTGTTTCCTTGTGTTTATTAATACTTTCACTTATTTCTTGTGTTCAGAAGGAACAAAGAAGAACTCTTTCTGTGTTTGGAATCATTTCTTTCTGAAGGTTTTGTTTGCTTTAGCTTAACAAGCCAAGCAGACAAACACCAACTGAAACAATGGGAAGAGGAGGGGGGACTCTTTCTGGAACATACTGACTGAACCCTCAGCTAAAAAATAAATAAAAAATGGATGTGTATGAAGGGGAAAAGAAGTAAGAATGTATCTGTGGTGTCCTCTCTGAGGAGTGTTCCAGGTCTGTCAGTGAGATGTGTTTGACATCACCCAGAGAACCTCTTTTATAACGTGCAGTTTTACAGTGCCAAAATTAACTCCCTTTTTGTTCTACTGAGTCTCTCCAGGTTGTGTGAGGTCTGTAGAATTGCATCTGTGTTTTTCTCCTCACAGTGTAGATTTTTAAGCATTTCTTAAAGGGAAATTTTTGTCTGGTTTATTTCAGTTGAAGCTCTAGGGACAACACTTGCAGAATAAACGTGACTCTCATGTCACCATGCAGTGTATCGTTAGCACCTGTCTGTTTCTCTCTTCTGTCCCTGATCCACAATCTTAGTGGCCCAGGAGTATCTGTTGTTTTTTATAGTGCTATGGGGTCAGTCTGGATTTACGTGCTTGGGTTGCTTATTTCCAAGGATGTGACCAAAAATACATTACCTTTTCCACATCCATTCCCACCTCTGTGCTTAAGGCTGGTGCTAACACAAAGTTTGTTTGCTGTTTTTTCCATCTTTGTAGTTGTATGCTAAGGTTTGGGGGAAGGCAGGCAGTTTTTTCAAATGCATGTCTTGTTCCACAAAAATATGCTTATATATGTTTATATATATATATATGTGTGTGTGTGTGTGCTGAACAAATGATGATTGTATGAACATTTGCAGTTGAGAAGAACTATTTGTAGAAACAGCTTTTTGAAAAATGCTTGTAGCTTTTCTGCAATGCATAAAAAAATCA